ATATTTTTTTCAAATATTCTCTGACAAGTGTGAGAAGGATTGATTCTTTTGACAATGTCACATGTGTTACACTTCACATTTCAGACAATATTAAAATATGTCTACGAAATATACTAGATCACYATGATATTGACAAGGTTGGTGTGAGTGCTGTAGTTTGTCATTGATTCTAGACTTACGTATATTTGAGTATCCCCTCAAGCTTTGACGTCCAAATTACAACACTTTTATCYGCACCACCAGATGCAAACCTTTTACCTTCAAAACAGACAATCACTCACTTTATTTACTAGTAATAAATATTTTATAGTAAATATTACAAATAGTAACAATGCAACAAGTCTAGTGGATGCATTTGTATTTGATATCAGTTTAATTTTTGAAAAATGAGAAAATACCATCCATTCAAAAAATGGATACCAAACATTTTCATGCAAAAGTTAGTCTTACAGTATACTGTCTGATTCAATTCAAACAGCTATTTCGATACTATTTCGATTTGATAACTCTAACAATATTATAAAAAATCATGATATTTATTGAAGCAAGAAAAAAGGAAGTATTTTCGCTACTTAGCAACGAAAATATACAATCTGCCTGTCTGAAAGATGTAAATATTCGTTTAGTGCACGATTTCTCGTTTAAGATCTATGATTTCATAGACAAATGCAATTTAACTAAGATTCTGGTGAGAGTAGGAAATCTACAATCGAAACGCCAACAAACTATGAATTTCAAGAGTTTTAGGCAAAGAAGRGTACAAATCTTACCATCCCTAGCATACGCTACACAATACACAGTTTCTTTATGACCTTTGAGCGTCTCAACTAGTGTTCCATCGTTTGTATCGTAAACCTAGAAACGCATCCCAGCAAAAAAAAACAATTTCATACTTAAATATTATCAACAATGAAAGCCCGATTGCGAATTTACAACTAACCAAGACACGGTTTCCAGCGGCAACGATAAGTTGACTTCCATCAGGTCGAAAAGCGAGGTCGTATATGCTGGGAAATTGAATGTATTTTCAATTAAAATTTGGCAGATTAGTAGAATAATGCCTAAAGAAAATATGTCTCTCACCATTGCTCGATCCCTTCTTTATCATGTACTTTATCGACCCAGGTTGGAACCGCTCTCATAGTTTTTTTGGTCAAATTTCGACAAGAAAACAAAATCTTCTCGCAAGGAGCTCTGGGAGCCTGATAGAGCGCAAAGCATCATGGATGGAAACACTTTTCCCGCGAAAATCAAGAATTGTGAAACTGTTTGATGTGTTTTTTTCGCATTGTCAATTTTATCTATTTATGTACCATAATAGAAATTATCCCCTGACAGTTTGAGATCCATCTCAGAATATTAGATGATAACAATCATGATTTGGTTGTCTTTTAAAACAGTTTCCGCCGGTCTTCTACAAGTACTCTCAAGACTCAAAGAACAACTTGAAAAAGTGTTTTTAATCAAACTGAACGTCATTGCCATTTTATTAAGTARAATAACCGATGCTCAAAAAACAGGAAACTRCTTTTATATGGGTCTTGCTTTTGTCCTAAGTTTTCTCCGCCGTGGATTTACTGGGATGCGCTTACAAGGGTKTCAAACTCAAGCCGATCAGATACTGAAATAACGTCTCTATTTTCAATTTAACAACGTGAAAATACGATKAAAACGGAGTCAATTATAACAATAAAATACATATGAAAGAAAACACATGAAAGACTCCAATGAATGGAAACCGCTTCTATATAAACTTGTACAAATAATGACACTCTAACAAAATAGAAGGAAATGGAACATAGAAAGCAAATATTWAATGATCGTAAGTGACGCATATTGTAAGAGATGAAATGGTCAGCCTTGTCATCAGCCTATATTTCGATCGGAAATGCGTTTCAATACTGATGCGACATGGCCGCCAGCTAGTGGAAATTGAGCCCAATAATTCAGTATATCAGTGTTACTCTTGTTGACGATCGTGCTGTCATTTTTGCAGTTGTTGATATCATCGCTGTTTCTGAAGATGTTGATATTAGTTGTTGTTGTTMTTGTTGTCCCTCTAGAGTTGTTGCTGCTGTTTTGTTGTTATTGTTGCAGTCGCACATGGTGTTGTTAATGTTGTCGCTATTGCTACAGTTGTTCATTTGCCATTCATTTCTTGTTTTTCCATATTAATATGGCAAACATGGCGTTTAATTACTAAAGTTACTTTTTGTTTATTGTTGTTGTTGTTATTTGTTTTCATTACGTGATCAAGCAGGAAATTCTACAATTTTTTACTATTTTTGGTTGCCATGGTGAACTAGATGTTACTTWAAGTAATCCATTCTGACSAGACAATGATTTGACTTTCAAATTTTAGCTAATAAAGGCAATCAAGTAGGTTTTACGACAGGAGATTGCCGCTGGTTTGCCAAGGATGAAAGTTGACCAATTAAGCTGTCAAATCAAAAGGCACACAAAAGAAATAGACGCGAAACATGTTGAATGTCCATACCTGTATTCTCATATGACAAACAGTAGACTGTGCTCCTATGTCCTTTCAGCATATCAATGATCTCCCCATCTGCTGTGTTATAAACCTACAGTAAAAACACTATCTTAACATAATACTTACTTATTAGATCATACGATTGCCATAAATCACCTCACTAGACCAGCAGTCAAGTACTGGGATATGGGCCTCGAAATGACCATCTGTCAGTGACCGATTATTTTTACTCATTTATTTTATTTATTTTTAATAATAATAATAATAATAATATTTATGCTGTTTTGTTTGTTTGTTGTTTTTGCTTTGTTTTTACTCCTACCTTTGAACTTAACTAGTTTCTTGATTAACTGCCGTTGAAAGGAGAGTGGGTGATGTTTATATTACAGTTTTTCTTCTCATTTTTATAACCCCTTCCTGTCCTTGCTCCTGTTTTTTGTAATGCTTAGTCTTAGTACTCAGCATCCCACACATTGAAGCACAGTCAGTGATCGACACGACAGAACAATGTTTTCAATMTTAAAATTTTAATCTTTCTTACAAGGTGCGTTGCCAACTGTATGAAAGGTTGTCTTAGTCAAATAAAATAATAATTCATTTAATAAAGAAGGTAACCTACCAAAACTACATTACCAGCAGCTGCRACAAGTCGAGTTCCATCAGGACTGAACGTCAAATCGTATATACTAACATTGAAAAAAAAAAAGAACTTTATCATCAAATTAAAACGATTGTAGATAATTTTTGTGAAATAATTCAAGTTCCTACCATTGCGGTTCTTTCTGCCTGTCCTCTAGTCGATCATACCATATTCGATTCACTTTTGCCAAAGCCATCGTTCTTAACAGTTATGTTGTTGTGGAGACTCGTAAAGTGAGAGCGTCAACGCACGATGTCATGATCAAAGGAAYCAACTAAATATGCGAAGTATCGCTTTACTTACTTGGGTTTCAAGTATTTGGGAAATGTTGCCGCGGGAGGTTGGGTAATAGCGTGACCCTTCGGCTCAGTGGTTGATTTTATCAAATGTCTATAAATTTATTCATCTGTGTTAATCCACCTAGTGTTAYKAATATTTGAACAATAAYTAAGTATWTTYCCCATRACTGCTCATTTCCCACGCTCCCTCCCCCGCTTAGTATCACTTGTATCGTTCATTAATTCATTTACTAAACCCTTCTGTTCATCCAATATTCCTTCATTCCATCCCGATTTCTTGTACTTCCTTCTAATATCTAATAATAGATAATATAAACAGACCATAAAGAATTGACATGACATATAAACAACATGCAACCGTATGAGATGGTAATGTCGGCCTTGCAATGCTGCTCGCTATAAAAGCATTAGGTAGATAGAGGCATTGCAAAGTATAGTTTATTTCTATTTTGTGTTTATGATATCAAACGTTGTTAGAAAGATTTCTGTAGAATTATTTAATGTTCCTCGAAATTTCAGCTGTCTTGCAAATTAATGATTTGCATTTTATGAAAAAAACAAAACTCCAGTTTAGAATTTATCGCGTTTTAAATAACTTGTTCCGTTCAAGAGATTMATGTAGGATTGCCTTGTATTGTTTGCTTAATTGACGGRCTTCAAAGACYACAAAAAAGTTCTAAATTTCATTAGCATATAATTACAACAACATGAAAATCGACTAATTGATCGCGCGCTCTGATTGGTTGATCATGTGTTCTAATAGTGTCAACGACTTGAGGTGTTCGATTTCATGCAATGTTTGATCAAGTTGATTTCAAAGGCTGTAAACGATGTACAYGACAGTGTTRAGTATGAAATATTGCCTGTTTAGTAGCAGCATTTAGGCCTGTGTCTTTGCTTCATATACTAGAAGTAGTTATTTAATCGTTTGCCACAGTTTGAGTCCTCAACCAAGACTCCTGTCTAGAGTCATGAACTGATCTACGATGTTGGCTTACAACTTCAAGAAGGTAAGTTACTACTGGCCTGGAATTGCAATAATAATACTATTGATTGTCATTTTGCCAAGCTCAAATCATTCACTCAAGTAACGTTTTATTAGAAATACTTCATCTTTGTTTAATTGAAGGCTTTCAAAGCTCTTGATTTCCGCCACGACTGGTAAAATAACCTTGTTTGCTTTCTTCAGCATAGCTTCCAGAAATCGGATCATGTTCGCGAAATTCTCGCCAAACTTGATGCGAAACAAAGCAAGGTAACATTTTATAACAGCATGATCTCGCTACATTGCAATCATTTGTTTTTTGTTGTCCCAAAGGAATACAGTATGCTTGATTCTTCTCGACAAATGAACCACAAACATGTATATATTTTACAAAGTGTATTTATTCATAAACAACGAACTATCATGGTTTTTAACTGACTTAGTTATATCTCTTATTGTGTACTGATCTAAACCTCCAAGAATTCGCTTAGAGAATTAAAAGATTTAAAATAGTACYCGAAGATTTGTTATAATCCACCAAACTACATGCTTACATGCTAACTTACTCAAGCTGTTTCTATGGKAACAGATGTCTAAACACAGGACCGGCGTGCGCAAAATTGTTTATCATAGGTTTTTTTTTTACAAATTACAAATTAAGAATTCTAAATTTCCTTTTCATAGTTTAATTCCAATTTTTATCATTGATTTTTCTTATACCAAATATAAGTTTCGTGTGAAAGATATTTTTCAAGGACGTTTGTAATTCAAATTGACCGTTTTACTTGCTTCATTACTAGACTGGTCTATCTTTGTATACCCAACAACAGAACTCAACGCCAAGTACGCCAGGTGCGCCATATACTTTAAGGTTTAATATTACTGTAGATATTACTGAAAACCAAGTTATTATACCTGTCAGTGTTGGTTTGCGTTTGGTACATGTTATGTTTACTCGCTAACAAAATGAGAAATATTAAATGAGAAAAATTTGATGATGTTATACTGTAAGTGAATTATATTTGTCTTCTGTTTTATTGCGTTTCAGGTGACTTACCGAATAATGAAGAAAAATCCTCTTTTCCTAATTTAAAAAGAGCAAGAAAGAAGGCTCAAAAAAGGTATCCAACGTTTATGTGCTTTACATGTTATCTAATGATCAAAGTCTCTCTTTACCTCTTCCAACATGGAAAGCGTGACGTGAATGTCTCTCTTTCTGTCTACACCTACGCCCTCTTCCACCGTCCCACCTTTTAGATCAGCCCCCTCCCCCAAAAAAAGTTCCTCCCCTCCCCCTCCCTCCCCCCCCAAAAAAATGAGGGGAGGTAAATGAAATAAAAGATAAAATTCTTATCAAATTCAGTAAATAAATTCAAATTCCTATTTTTCTTGTTTAAAATATTATCAGGATAACTACTGATTCTGTCGGACGACATTCAAACCAAGTATCAAACATCAGATCGAAAAACATTCCTCACAGACTTCCAGGACCTACTGTTAATCTTCCTCCTGTGTCTCGTGGAATACCAAAACAAGAAGAACGACAGCCCGCGTCCAACATCCCAGAACAACAGTTTGTAAGTTGTGTTTTCACGATGCTTCTTCTCGCTTTGTAAGTGACAATTTATGGTACGTTTTGTTTTAGGACAAAGAAAAACTTGACATCAATCTGAATCCTTTTGGTTACAATCGAAAAACGCTGGCATTTCAAACACGGAAAATCAACTATGTTGTTGAGTGGCCTGAAACGTGGCCCTTCAAAATCACGTATGTACGAAAATTATACTGTACTGAGATACACCTACTTGCGAAAACGTTGTCATAAAAAAATAGGACATTTGTATTTTAGTAAAAAGGAATAAATTATAAAGACAAAAGAAGATCACTGAGGCTGAACGCTCTCTTTTGTCTTGTTTTAATTTATTCCTTTTTACTAAATTCGAATGTTCTATTTTTTTATGACAACGTTTTCGCAAGTAGGTGTATCTCAGTACAGTATAATTAATTTATATATAAAAAACAAAGACAAAAATACGATAAAAAACATCTAGAAAAGAAGAGAAAAGAAAACCTCTGGGACCAGGGTACTGAATTGCGTAAAATTACAGGAATGTTAAAATTAAACTATACAAGAATACTAACTACTCTCTTACGAAGCCGCTTGTAAGCTTTCCCTTTATTGCCTATTTTACTTATTCAGGAGTTTTCAAAGAAAGAAGGRACTGCCCAAAAACCAGAAATGGTGAGTACGTGTTGTGAAGAACCGATTTGATCTTTACTATGACTACTGCCATGTTGGTTTTATGATGATGATTGTTTATGATGATGATGATGCCTTTTCGAATTTCAGAACCTTGATGTAATTATTATCTCTCCATTCAGGTCGCGTCCAGTAGATACCACGTCTAGTAGAAATAACCCTGAACCGCCTGCCAAGGAAGAGGAACGAAGTCAACCCTCAATGYACGCGGACCTTAACAAAGCTCGTATTCTTGCCCCAGTCGACCATCCAGTGAAACAAACTGTGATATCAAACTCACCTTATGTAGAATCGTCGCTACTGAAGCGTGCAGCCCGCAAACCGCTGCCCAAGGAAAGTGAGAATCGGTTTGTATTGAGAAGTCAAGACAAGGATTTGGAATTTGCTTCCCGTAGAATTGAAAGTAGCAAGAATGAAGATCAAACTTCTCAGGTACTTTTCGCGCTTTCTTGGACGTAAAAACGATTTTTGTGGTTTAGTGTATTCAGCTTAGAAAAGGCCTTTTCTGAAATAGCATTATACATTGCATTGTGGTCTATATTCAGTACAAACATCTTTTGTTCATGCGGACAAATATGGTGTTGTTTGTACTGAAGCTAGACCACAATGCACCATGATTTTGTACTTTAGAAAAGGTCTATAGTAAAACGTCAATCAATCAATTAACCAARCAATCAGTCCCGTACCTCTCGAAGAGTCTATTATCCATTATTAATAGTAATTGATATTTATTGTTTCTGTAGAAGTGCTTGCCGTCAGCCCAGAGTCCCCTCATGCCTGAGATTAGTCGAGAGCAAATTGACAGTTGTCCACCGTCRACCCCAGTCCCTAGCAGCCAAGACCCAGTCCCCGACGAACAGGAACAGTGTGAGGGTGAGCAGAACCCAATCTCTAGCGTACAGGAACCACGCCCTAATGGACAAAAACCACAGAGAGACCAATCGATTGATCATGAAGACGTAGACCAAGAAACCAGTTCACTGTTAAATGACATTGTCAATCAAATTATCTCAGAAGCTAAACCGCCGACCATATGACAATTAGAGCTACGCGATTTAAGAAAAGCCTGTTTGGAGACATTCCGCTGGCCGGAAACTAAGCTACCGAAATATGAACCGAAYTCGTTACTATCGTCACAGTAGAACAGACTTCCTTGACTGACAGTTTGATTGATTGACGATTACGACCAGTTTGATTGACAGCTTATTTTCAGTTGGCGGATTTATCTATTTTTTATTTTTTCTAGTTTATGATGTCCCTTATTTTATGTTGTAATTATTCGTGTTTTTAGTGTACTGATGACCTATTAATATTYAGGCTTTTTTACGGATCGCGTAGCGAGTGCAATATCTATGTATAATTGTAAATAAAAGAATACTTAAAATGATGCAATGATCAGTTATYTTTAATAAAAATCATACCTACATAAACTATTCTTTTCCTTTTTTTTTTTTTTTTTTTGGAGGAGGGATGATTTGATCCAATCCAATATTTAATTGAGGTAGTCCATTCGGTGAAGATATTTTTGATGCTAATTACATTGTTTCATTATCCAAACCCCTGAGGGAGCAAACAACCAATCACGATTAAGCATCTGAAATAGAATACTTGATCGTCATGTGATTCTTGCCACGTGATCTGATGATTCGACTCGGTCGAAATATTACTATATGCTACAATATTGGAGAAAGAGTGGCATTTTATTGAGAATATTGAAATTTTAGTTCAGGTAAGATTGATTGATATCTTTGCTGTGTAAAGCGATGACGGTTATGCTATCTTGCTATGATGGATGGAGGACGCGGGAAATTTGAATTCTTGACAACAGGTCTTGCTGTGATCTTTGTGTATTCGTCTGAGTGAAACTACACTGAAAGTCCTTTCCTTATAGGTAAAACCCAATTAATATTGAATAATATCGAGTAGTCAAATGGGTCTAAAAACATAGGTTTAGTAAAGTGCGTTATTCGTGAAGAATTACAAATGTCTTTTTAAAAATTACAATGAGTTGAGTTTGTTTTCTTCGCCACAAATCGATGAAGCATTTGACTCAAATACTAAATAGATATAAATGATTGATATCTGTTTGCTAGTAAAAGCAAAATGGTTTTTAAAATATATCTTAGAAGCGAACTTTCGTTTAAAAATAAGTCAAAGATTTGACGAGGTCGCGTCGTGTCAAACTTGTAATGTCCTCACGGGATTTCATGCTCTATGTTAAACTGTTTTCGTTTTTAAAATCCCTCAGGGGATTGAAACCACAAATGAGGTATTTGATTACATATATTATAGCGCGCCTGATACTCATGAAACAAACTGCAGATAAAGTGTATTATTACTAGAGTGCTTGAATGTATTTAATGAGTTTTTATCTAAACTTTTCATTAAGAATTGTTCCATGGAATAATTTACAACAGGTAGCCCATTAATGTATTTTGCGTGGTGTGTGCAGTTTCGGTTATCTCGCGCGCTCATTCAAATACGCGCGCGCAATCACGCTAATCGAAATCATCGATATCGTTTTGATTAATTAGTAATAGGATAATGATCAATTACCGCCATTGATGCAGCAATAATGGGTTGACTCACTCGATGAAACCCATTACGACAATGAAGTGTTGTTTTACAATGTTACTTTTCAGATAATGAAGAGATTTTTAGTTTTACTTCTCATCGCAAATTCCATTGCAAACCATGGATCCAATGGRTGGTCATTCTGGCCGTTTTCTAGCGAGAAAACGTCTTCCACAAGTCAAGAAACRGGAGGTCATTTGATCAAGAGTCCTGTGCCATTTGAAATGACAGATGCGGAAGAGACGTTCCTAGCTGAGGCGCAAAAGTACATGGGTAAAATGAAACCTTTAGACTCGTGCCATCAAATAGTTATAAACAGAATCAAGAAATCGTGTAGCGCCATCAATGAAGAAGAGCTGGCCAAGCTGGGCGTACAACTGCTGAACTGTCAGTCACTAGCAGAACACCGCAAAACATATGAGTGCACGGACCAGATGGTAAGAAAACATTCTTGTCTGATTGTTTGTTTTGTTCTCTGTTTGGTCTTCTCTAGTCCCAGAAGCAGAATTGGAAACTTAAGAAACCTTGTSTCACTGTGCGGTGGCTACTGCTCTATGCAAACACAAATAACGTCTTGATCGCGCTTAGTTGAAAGAAAAGAATGATTTTCGCATAACGTTTATCTAAAAATGTGGTTAATAAATTACGTAAGGTATTTTAGTTGCATGTCCTCTCATTAACAAATGTTTAAAACTTTGCACTTTAATTCCTAGCACAACTTTCATGACTCCAATACAAGGTCAAAAACCGTGCGATTTTTCTTGTGCTTGCGGCGTTAGCGCGCGTCGTTATGAAAACCAAAGATTCAATGTTTTTAATTATCAGGGTTTGCATTATACTCCTTTTGTACCTCTCTTTACTTATATTTATTATGAACTATGTTTTAAATGACACCATATCCATTATAGAGCATRGCTGAGTGCACATCAAACATGGATTCTGAGACATGGAACAGTTATCACATTATAAGCAACAGGGCGAGGTCAGTATGTTATGCAACCAGGCAACAACAATTTAGACTCAAGACAGAATACGCTGTCAATCAATTGGGGAAACAAGCAGAAGATCAGCTMAATTTGATGGATTCTTTAAAGGTATGGGTTTTTAAGATAGAAACAAAAATGTGCATTTGCCCTTTAGATGTTTGTTGATACGCTTGTTTTGTACTAAGAAACAATAGATTTTATCAGCATTTATTTATATACATAGTAGAAAGAGAGAAGTGATTTGGGAAGCCCGGCTAGCTGTAATTAAGCGTTTTAAATCTCCTCTTGTACTAATGCTTAACATAGATGGAATAGATCCCTTGCATGTGACGTCAAAGCAGCTTCATCTGGAGGATAAAACAAAAGATTTTTACCCTCTTGGGAACTAGAATCTATTAATTTGTCCTCCTGTTGGAATTACATTCCCACGAACTGCAAGGGGTCTATTTGTGAAAAATGAAGTTTTCCTAAGTTAATTTACTTTARGTTCGTACCATAGCCTGTGTACATCCGTTCTCACCCCTCCCCCTTACGGGGAAAATTTTTGTAGGGGTGAGAAACTGATGTACACAGGCTAT